AAAAGACTATTTTTGATCTTCAATTGGTTGAATCCTTGGATATGAAGGGCTGTTTTTATTGAAAAACCCCTAGTATAAGAGGACTGGTGCAGTTCAAACCCGTGTTGTTCAAGTTTCAACTGTAAATACCAAACCCTTTGTCTTAGTGTGGGGTTATATCCATCTGAGAGAAGAGGCACTTTTTCCTAACTTGCCTAAGTTTGCCATGCCTCACTAAGCCATGGCCTGCATGGGAACCCTTGTATGGACGTGTGTGTGCGTGTGCACTTCTTTCTAGTTTCCATAAAGGTATCCCGTGAACAAAGGCTCTGACCACCTGATCTCTTGTTTATCTTTCCCCTCTGGGTATCTATTCATCTCTCTAAGAGATGCTGTGAATTATAGAACTAAGCAGCTGCACAACAGCCTCTCGGGTGTGCAGACGATGTTTTGGGCTCTGCACATTCTAAAACCAAAGAGAATTCATGAGCCCGTCCACACTGGAGGTGTGGAGTGCTGGATCAGGGCTGATGTAACGGCTTAGAGGTTAAGGATGATTTACTCAGTCTGATCTTGTCATTTTATGTTTCTCTTGGAAATACGGTGTGTTTATAAAAGATCTCTTAAAGCCTGAGTGCCTCAAAAGTTTTGACTCACGTCGACTAGAAACAGTAAGCTTCGGATTCTTGCACTGAAGATCATTTAGCAAAAACCAATATGGAAAGCCTTACCTAGAAAATAAACCTCTATCCAGTGCCTCTGGTTAACCAAAAGTCCTTCTTTTTTACAATTTCACCCAAGGATAAGATTTTCTAGAAAATCTCAAGCTATGAGACTATGAAAACCTTAAACAAATGTTTTCTAGGACGGTAGACTACATTTACTATTCTGCTTGAAATTATGTTTGTAACATAATCTTCTAGCCCTTTCTGAAGATTTGCTTTTGACTGTGTGTTTTCCTTCAGTCAACCAATGTTGTTCTTAATTAGAAATTTAAATTACATCTGCAGTTTGTACACACCAGGGGATATATTTATGTAATACTTTTAGCCAGCCAAGATATTTTTTATAACTTCAACATATCATTTTTTCACAGAGGGCTTATTGATGAGACTTCATAAAAATTGTGCCAGAATGTATGCAAGAGGAGGAGTAGTGTAGCTCAGGAGAGGCCTCACAGGGAAAACATTTCTTGAATGTATTTATTTTTTTTTATGGTGCAGGGAAAATTTTTTCTCTTCATGCTATTCTTTTGTATGTCTTCCCTTCGTGTATCTCACTGATATGTGCTGTTGGAGAGTGAAAACAATATGACAAATTGAGATATTTCATAAAGTTTCAGTGAGGTAATTAAGGAAACTCATTTTCAAAGATATACATTTATTTCAGTAGCTTGAATGTTGGTTGATCAGGAAATGACCAGAATACTAAATACTGAAAGGTAGGTTGAGCTTGTGTAGATCAGCAGCTTTGAGAGTCAGGCTGTTGAAAGGCATGAGGTGGAGGTTAGAACAGCAGAGGCCTTTGCCGTGGGGGGGAACTAATTGGCTGACTGAAAGCTTGAATAAGTTATATTTGTTATTCAAGTCGAGGAAAAACTATGAGAACAGGGATGAATATTTGTATCTACCAAGGCATTACGTTCTGCCACATGATATAGAAAATAAAAGGCAGGTCCTTAGACGTAAGCTCTTCTTCCTATAGCAAGTAAGAGGAACAGAAGCTCTGTTCCTTGGCAATGCTTTCCTCTGAGTATTCTGTTTTAGATTTGGCACTCTCAGCCAATAAAATATTGCTCAGAGGGTTGCTAAGAAATTCTCTAACATAAAACATTTATTACTGGACCGTTGTCCTTGAGCCTGGGATTCTGCTTAAACGCTTTCAATTAGAAACCTCTGATTTCAGGACTAGACGATTTGTTTCCTCTTTTCACAGCCCTGGACTGTGTCTGGGTACCTGTCACCTACACACATTGGCCACAGGTTGACCACAACCTGATTCCTGAGACTAAAGATTCTAGCGTGATATTATCAGACTTGAACTTAATCAGATGAGATATTATAGAATGAAGTCTTCTACAAACATATTAATCCTACTTTTGCAAAATTTTTATAAGAGAGACCTGTGGAACGTGGAAAATTCTCTATGAAGCTGCTCTTAACAAAGTCTGAGCAAACAAACACGTTTTGCCATTTTTAGATCCTATCTTTTAAGCCTCAACTTGCTAGTCTTCTCTAAAGTTTTCTACCCTCTGGGGTCTCTGACTCTCCTCCACCTTGGATCTCTCACTACTTGCATCTCACTTTGACTTTTGTTTGTGTACCCTTATGGTGTGTCCGGTGGTTTCATGAATGGTTCATAACTAAAGCATAAGCTCTGTGAAAGTGGTTGGTGTCTGTTTGTGGTGGTGTCCCTAACACAAGTGTATATAGGTGCTCAGTTAAATTAAGTACATTACTTTGTTTGGAAGTCTATCAAGACNTCCCTAACACAAGTGTATATAGGTGCTCAGTTAAATTAAGTACATTACTTTGGAAGTCTATCAAGAGGCTGAAGTTAAGGACAATCATATTTCATGCTTTCTACATTGAGCTGGAGTTAGCTGCAGATACCTGACTGGTCTGAGTCAAAAGTCCTAGGTTTGCATCTTAGCGCTATTGCTTAATTAATCTCATGATCTTTGGCATATGTGTCTTTATCAATTCCCCTTTAGTTCAGATGTTTGAAGTCAGCTTGATTGACCTAGAGCAGTGGTTCTCAAAGTGTGGTCCCCAGATCGTGAGACCAGCATTACCTGGAACTGTTAAAAATGCAAATCTTACAGGTGATTCTGCTGCACACTAAAATTTAACAATGACTGATCTGCAGTATAGTCAAATCCCTGGAAGGTGAGAAGCTCCATACCACAATCTTAGTGAACACTGAGGACTGTGCCCGTCATTTCATGGTTAGCGTGTATATCCATTATCTCATGTATCATCTTTAAGGCTCAGCAGAATGGCTCACTTTTGTACCATATTCAAGCCTGCAAGGTACTATCCACAGGATTGCAGCTCTCAAGCCCCTAGAAAGTGCTGGCAATTGAGAAGTGAAAAATCTTTCTTAGGGTGAACAAAGACTATGCAGTGGACAAGGGATTAATTTCTAGCAGCAGCCTCCTAATTTTGTATTCATAACGTTGCACGTATGCTAGGCTACACATGCAACATCTACTGATATACATTAGGTAATTGGGCATCCAGCAGCCCTATTTGTATGCAAAGATGGTCGTCCACCTCCCATTTACAAGTCTAAAATTAAAGCCCAGTTTGAAGCTGGCCGAGGGCTCACTGCTAGGAACATAAATAGTTAAGGAAGAAATGGCTTCTGTTAATCAGCACTTTTGGCCTCTGCAGTTCAGTCTTTGCTAATTTGTCCTTTGAAATTGTTCATTCTGTGTTGAAGAGAGAGACTTCTAAGAGTACCCGTTATTTATTTTTTTTTGTTTTAAGGGAAACTTACATTTATAAGCTGATCGTGTTTATACATAACATGTCCCCTAGCACTGTAACCACATGTATGCTGCAGTCTGTTGCTGTGCTATATTTTTGCTCTATGAACTATTCATGCTCTTGTGGGACCACATGGATCACCCAGCACAAACTCACACCCAGCACAAACTCACACACTGGGTGTTGGCATCCTTTCATTTTAATTCAGCCCACATTCGTCAAGTAGCTACATTGTACCCGGTGCTGTGCCAGGGGCTTGGCATAAACAGATCAATCAATCACAGTTTCTGCCCTCAGAGCCTCACAATATTTTAACAGAGTTGAATATTTTTGCATAAACGAAGTCTTCTCTGATAATCCCATGAATTGAAGTGACTGCTTGCTTCTTTGAGCTCCTGATTATGCTCAACCAGTGTCCCAAGGAGAATGAGGGATCCATGCCTGGAAGAGTCAGAACTCAAAAGGACAAGACTGTGGTCAGGTGGCCACTCAGCTGGGTCATCAAGAAGAGATGGCTGCACTAACCTGCACCCCTATGTTCAGAGCAGCACAATTTACAATAGCTAAGATCTGGAAACAGCCCAAGTGCCCAACAGTCGATGAGTGGATAAAAAAGCTGTGGGACATTCACACCATGGAATACTACTCAGCTATAAAAAAGATCTCTTAACCTTTGGGACAGCATGGATGGACCTGGAGATTATTATGCTAAGGGAAATAAGGCCAGTCAGAGAAAGACAAGTACCATGTGATTTCACTCATATATGAAATCTAATGAACAAAATGCACTAACAAACCAACTGGAAACAGGGTCCAGATACAGAGAATAGACTGACAACTGCCAGAGGGGAGGGTTGAGGGGCTGGGTGAAAGAAGTAAAGAGATTAAGAAAAAAAATGCCCACAAAAAAAACACACCTTATAGGCCCAGACAACAGGATGGTGATTGCCAGAGGGAAAGGGGGGTGGAGGGAGGTAGAAAGGGTAAAGGGGGGATAAATGGTGATGGAAGGAGACTTGACTTGGGGTGGTGAACACACAATACAATGTACAGATGATGAATGATAGAAATATACACTTGGAACCTATATAATTTTATTAACCAATGTCTCCCCAATAAATTCAGTAAAAAATAATGTAAGATGAGATGGCTACATTGCAAATGGCCCATATTCCCAGTTTGTGGGGACAAAGAATGCATGAGTATTTCTTGTACTCTCAATATGGGGTGCGTGGAAGCGAATGCAGGTCTAAAGCCACCTCAAAGGGACTTGCCCATCACCTAGAGGAACTATCGACCCCTGCAGAGTTTACCAGAGCCAGTAGTGAAGCAGTCACTTGTCACGCTTCATCAACTGCTTTATTTTCCATATTTGGCCATGTGCATTTGTTTTACCTTGACAACTAGATTGTGAAGCTTCTGGAGAACAGACGTGGGTCTTAATGAGAAGAGTGCTTTCCATAGTACATATTTGATGGCAATGATGGTAAATAGGGCATATTAGCAGGAAAAGTGCTTGGTGGTTTATAGGCATTAGTAGTTTCTCATGATAATAAGCAATTTTTTTGTCTTCCTTCTAGCATAGGTGCATACACCTTGATAGCACCAAATGAAAATCGAAGAAGTCAGCTGCAAAGAAGTATGTACATGGATTTAACATTCAGAAAGCTTCTCATTGTCTTACAGAATACAATTGGTTTGCTTTGGTCTGAAGTACTTTTCTTTTCTTTTCTTTTCTTTTCTTTTCTTTTCTTTTCTTTTCTTTTCTTTTCTTTTCTTTTCTTTTCTTTTCTTTTCTTTTCTTTTCTTTTCTTTTCTTTTCTTTTCTTTTCTTTTCTTTTCTTTTCTTTTCTTTTCTTTTCTTTTCTTTTCTTTTCTTTTCTTTTCTTTTCTTTTCTTTTCTTTTCTTTTCTTTTCTTTTCTTTTCTTTTCTTTTCTTTTCTTTTCTTTTCTTTTCTTTTCTTTTCTTTTCTTTTCTTTTCTTTTCTTTTCTTTTCTTTTCTTTTCTTTTCTTTTCTTTTCTTTTCTTTTCTTTTCTTTTCTTTTCTTTTCTTTTCTTTTCTTTTCTTTTCTTTTCTTTTCTTTTCTTTTCTTTTCTTTTCTTTTCTTTTCTTTTCTTTTCTTTTCTTTTCTTTTCTTTTCTTTTCTTTTCTTTTCTTTTCTTTTCTTTTCTTTTCTTTTCTTTTCTTTTCTTTTCTTTTCTTTTCTTTTCTTTTCTTTTCTTTTCTTTTCTTTTCTTTTCTTTTCTTTTCTTTTCTTTTCTTTTCTTTTCTTTTCTTTTCTTTTCTTTTCTTTTCTTTTCTTTTCTTTTCTTTTCTTTTCTTTTCTTTTCTTTTCTTTTCTTTTCTTTTCTTTTCTTTTCTTTTCTTTTCTTTTCTTTTCTTTTCTTTTCTTTTCTTTTCTTTTCTTTTCTTTTCTTTTCTTTTCTTTTCTTTTCTTTTCTTTTCTTTTCTTTTCTTTTCTTTTCTTTTCTTTTCTTTTTTTCTTTTCTTTTCTTTTCTTTTTTTTTAACATATCTTTATTGATTTCAGAGAGAGGAAAGGAGAGGGAGAGAGATAGAAACATCAATGATGAGAGAGTCATTGATCGGCTGCCTCCTGCACGCCCCTCGACTAGGGATGGAGCCCGCAACCCGGGCCTGTGCCCTGACCGGGAATCAAACCCCGATCGCCTGGATCCTAGGTTGACGCTCAACCGCTGAACCATACCCAGCCGGGCAGTATTTTTATTTTCTGATTTGAATATGCTCACCAGATCTCATCAAGTTCTTTTTCTTTATTTAATTTTTTAATTCTACCTTTTAAAATTATTATATTGTTAATGCTTCTAAACTTGTTTCTCTAGGTTAATAACAGAACTCATAGCACAATTGTAAATCTCAGATTTCTCTTGGGCTTAAACACTTTCCCAGTAGACCTGCCTCGTTCCCGTAAAGATGGGCTGACTGCAGATATTTTTATAGGACTATGACTACTTTTCAAATAGACAAGTTATATACTTGAAATAATTAAGTACTTAATATAACTTGTCTCTTTCTTGATATGTTTTATCCCTTCTTAATGGAATTATTTTTAAGGTTCTGTGCTCCCAGAATTTTGTAACTATCACAGTCTGCTCTATTATTTTTATTTGTGTACAGTAAGTAAATACACTTCACATTATTGATAGGTTCTGCAACTTCAAATGAAACAATGTAGAATAAAACCAATTTTACCTTAGGCTGCTTGATATAAAGAAGAGCTAATTTTCTATGGCATCTTATCAACATTATATAACGAAACAACATTATTGGAGGACCTGCTGCACTTCAGTTTTCTTCTCTAGATTACAGCCTCTTTGAGGACAGGGACCACACTGTGCTCATTTCATATTTATGCCTAGTGGGTGTATAAGATATCTAATTGAAATTGTACAGTAATATAAATGCTGTCATTTAAAGTTATAGCATCATACGTTAGAGCTGGAAGGAGAACTAAAATTAATTTAGTGCACAAAGAAGTTAGGAAGCTTGTTCAAGTCACGTTGTGGGGCTAGTGCTGGGATTCTGTATTCTCCTCTATTAGATCTTGGTAGGAAATGTAATTTTGTTATTGGTGTTGCTCATCCTCACCCAAGGATTTGTTTTTGTATATATATATACACACACAAAGAGAGAGAGACAGACAGACAGACACATCGATATTGATTGGTTGCCTCCCACACACTCCGACTGGGACTGGGGATCGAACCTGCAACCCAAGTGTGTGCCCTTGACTGGGAACTGAACCTGTGACCCTTCAGTGCATGGGCTGACGCTCTACCACTGAGCCACACAAACCAGGGCCGAAATTTAATTTCATGACTAATGATAGACATAAGGGCACAGCAGGAAAGCAACTATGGAAAGGGTCTCCACCGGACAGGGTCCTCCTGGTGGTAAAGTGGGTCAGTGCCGGGCATGACAAAAACTGCTATGCAGTGACTGTGCACTGCCAACAGTTGACCAACAGGATCACAAACGTTTTGGCATTTCACAAGCTTTTGACTTAAATATTTAAGCTTCATTGTGGTCTGGAGTTTTGAGGTGTTTCGGAAGTTTTTTCCTCTAATAATTAAAAAATATTATAAATTGACAATTGGAACAATCAGGTCTAATGGGGGAGATTCCGGCATGCCTTAGAACTACAGACTAATATGTCTGGCATCCCCTGCTGTCACCGGGAGTGTATATGTGGGGACTGAGCACTGCTGCTCCAAGTGCCAGAAACCAGAGCAGGGTTGCCCACTTGCAGTGTAGAGCCCTCACGCCTGTAGTAGCAGTAAGCTTGGGGAACATTTAAAATAAAGAATATGGGCATCAGAATTACCTGGGGATGTATATTTGCCTGTGTGTGAAAAGTTCTTATTGACATGAAATTCTAGTTTTGCACACATTCTCTAGAATGGAAAGAAAAACAAAACTCCTTTATTTTAGTAGGAGTTCAGGTTTTTTTCCAGATTTGAACTTCCAATGCAGAGAGAGTGTCACAGGGGTGGGCCCAGGGTGACTCTGAGAGGTTGGGACTGAATGGTGTCTTTCCTTCCTGGATATCTCATCCACGCATGCTCCCATGTATTTAATTACCCTCTGATGGTTGTTTTTAATGCCTTAAAGGGACCAGTTTCCTTTCAATATTCTAATAATGGATGGTTTTATATTTCTCACTTGGCTTAGTTGCTGAGAAAGAGCTGGAGAACCTGGAGAAATGGAAGGAGCAACATAGAGCGAAGCCAGTTAACCTGGTACCAAGGCGGCTAGGTAAGAGAGCAAAGTGATCGTCTGAATGGGGCAGGGCAGGGCATGCATGGATCCTGTTAGCACCCTGCCTAGGTGCATCTTTGAGTATATCTTATAGGTTGTTGGGTCACTGTACTTCTTGGAATGGAATGCATTTAAAATTGAAACACTTAAGTATGCAGGTATATTGTTTCTAATTTTTTGCAAGTAGCAAAGATATGATGCCACAGTTATGTGGGAATAAGGTGATGACTTAATTCCCAGATAATTTAGAGCCTCTTAGATGATCAGCTCTGAAGAAATCTTACGTGGGTTGCTGCATACGCCCCGTCAGAGCACTAGTCGGGGTGGGAGTAAAAGCTATCACAGGCATATTAATCATGGCATTTAAATGCAAACAGGAAAAAATGAATGGAGACTCAACTCCAAAACTATGATGGGAGTGAGCTGGGGACCCAGTGGTGGGTATAAAGAGAAACGTCACCCCTGTTTTCACTCTACAGATAGAGACCTTTGGGCCTCTGATGCGCATGCTGCCAGTGTGATGAATTGCCTGGGCTGCCTTTGCCGGGTGCTTGAATCTTCCAGTGGGGAGGCCACCTAATGGGAATCATTCAGTCCTTTCTTCCCTTTTCTTTTCTAGCAGCAGCTAAGAACTTAAAGGGCTGGGTGCACAGTTTCCACAGGTTTCATTAATACAAATGGGTCAAGAGTCAAGGGCTTACTGTTGCAGTCGTTTTAGAAAAATATTATTTTTCCAGGATATAAGTAAAAATAAGCTGGAAATCACTTAATGGGTGAAAGTAATAGCAATATCACCATCTCCCCACTGTATTTATGAAATGGGTTAATTTCAGTGTCACCTTTACACTGAATAAACCAGATTTGAGAGGCGTGACCAGGAAACAGCTTTGTCCTTCCTAAGTTGCCCCCTCAAACTGGCTCTGTGGGACTAGTTTTTCCCTTTACTATTTGGATTAAACTAGATATTTTTGGTCTTTCTCAACTAATAAAGTTGTTCAGCCAATTCTAGGCATAAAACAGTGCCATTCCAGTAATTAATCTTCAGTCATAGCTACTGGGCAGAACTGTTAGTAATGAAGATTAAAACTTCCTCCATGCTCCAGCCCAGGTCTATTTGGGGTAGAAAGCTAGCAAAGGAAATGGGGAACAGCTGAATTTTTCTCTTTTCTTTTAAAAATTTATCTTTATTGTTGAAAGTATTACAGATGCCCCCTTTTTACCCCCATTGATCCCCTCCACCGGCATCCAACTCACCTCCAGGCCTTCCCCATAACGAGGTCTGTGTCTGTGTAAGTTCTTTGATTAATCTCTCCCCACCCACTCCCCCCTCCGCACCTTCCCTCTGAGATCCCTCAGTCTGTTCCATGCTTCTATGTCTCTGGATCCACTTTGTTCATCAGTTTATTTTGTTTATTACATTCCACATATAAGTGAGATCATGTGGTGCTTGTCTTTCTCTGACTGGCTATTTCACTAAGCATAATACTCTCCAGTTCCCTCCATGCTGTCCCAAAGGGTAAGTGACCCTTTTGTTTCTTTTACAGTTGTATAGTATTCCATGGTGTAAATGTACCACAACTTTTTATCCACTCATCTACTGATGTGCACTTGAGAAGAATGTATATACTGCAGCCTTGGGGTAGAATGTTCTGTAAATGTCAGTTAAATCCATCTGATCTAGTGTGTCATTTACAAACACTATTTCCTTGTTGATTTTTTATCTGGAAGACCTATCCAGTGAAATCAGTGGGGTGTTAAAGTTCCCTACTATGATTGTCTTGCTGTCAATTTCTCCTTTAAAGTCTTCTAGAAGTTTTTTGGTTTTGTTTTTTGAAAATGGAAATTTATATTTTTATTTTATTTATTTTTTATCATTTATTTTTTAATTATTATTTTTTGTCTTTTATTTCTTTTTTAAAAAAATTTTTCTTTATTGTTGAAAGTATTACAGGTGTCCCATTCCCCCCCCCCCATTGACCCCCCCCCCCCCCCCCCCCCCCCCCCCCCCC